GTGTAGCCCGAACTGGGTTTGGTTCAAATCATATTTCTAAGAAAAAGGATACACTAAGTAAAAATATAGAATCCGCCACCGCAGCTGCGTTAGTAAGTACATCAAATTTTGAGATAAGCACAATTTTAACTGTCTCTTTTGTGAAAAACGGCACCCAACTAAAGAATGTTTTTCTGCTAGAAACATGACATTAGAAGCTAAAAAAATATATTAATTAAAAAAAGGTGCCTATTTTGGATGTTTCAGATGGGGTGGGACAGTAATAAAAATCACAATTTTTTAATGTGTCCAAATCGCCAAGAAAAAAATGAAAAGCCTAGAAGTGAAGTAACTGAAACCAATACATTAACTAATAACTGTAGGATAGAAAATGTTTATTTAATGACTCTAATAATTAAATTTAAGAATATTGAGCTTAAAGTATGCACATTACTGGATGGAACTTCTCAGCATTCGTATGTCAGTAAAAAATTAGCAGAGAATTTAAATTTAAAACCATTAAGGCAAATTAGGTTGATCTTTGGATTATGGTAACTTTGCGATTTTTTGGCGAAAATTTGGCGACCAACTCTGCTACAGCAACCCTCTATTTTTTTTTTCGCCGCCATTTTGTCTTCATGAAGTAAAGACATGTTTCTTTTCTTTTTATTTACTGAACACTTTTTCCAACAATCTACTAGCCGAATTACACTTATACTAGAAATTTTATGTAACAAAACTGCTTAATCATGACAAATATTAACTGCAAAATTGGGAAAAAGTGCACAATCGCAAACTCCTTGCGCGTTTTCAGAATAGCACGTACACATAAACCATTTAAACGTCGACTTATTTTTACTTAAAAAAAATCCCAAATTGCACAAAAATGGCATTGCAACACACTCTTAACTTTATTTTAATCATCTACACTGCTACTTTCTCATAAATTACAAAATTTGCACAAAAATGCAAAAAATTCTGTGAATCTTTAAACTCAGTAAAAAGCACATATATGAAATTACCTGATCGCAAAAATGTAATACCCTTTCCAAGGACGAACATTTCCACGTATAAAATAAATAAAATATCCTCTAAATTATCTATTATATTATAAACGTCACCAACGAATTCATACCGTAAACATTACAAATGGTTACAAATACTTAGTGTCAAATATTTAAATTACTTCCATGCACGTTTACTTCAATTGAAACGTATACCAAATTCCTACAAACATAAAATTCACAAAATAACTATCCTTTAATTAAAATATCACTAAACCATGTATACGTCGACTTATTTTTACTTAAAAAAACATCCCAGAATTGCACAAAAATGGCATTGCGCACACTCTTCACTATATCCATGTACACGGCTTTTTTTTCTCATAAATTAGAAAAATTTCACGAAAATGCATGAAAATACTCAATGTATTCTATTTCAAACGTATTCCAAAATACTACAAACATATAACTCACAAAATCACGATCATTAAATAAAATATAATTAAATTAAAAAACACTACTTAAAATATAAATAAGCACATACATTAAATTAATAAAAATTAGATTACAATCCTAATTACTTTAAACTAAATCATTGCTAATAACAATTTTCCAACAATACCATATTAATTTATTAACTCCTTAGATTTAGAACAATGCATAAAAATAATATCCTCAAATGATTAAAAATACTAACTTACCTAATCTTCAGAATCTTCATTACGTGGCACGCACACTTCCCTACAGAAAGAGTTCCAATCGGCTGCAGTACTACTGCTAATTTCTAAATCCGAAATCCGGTAGTCAACTGGCAGTCTATTCACCCAGTAATAAGAAATTAATAAAATTTCACCCATACTCAAACTACTTTCAGCAAACCACGTAACCTTCCTTACACTCCGTTTCACAAAATGTCCATTTTCACCAGATTTCTTGCACCGCCATTCAAACTTATCAGTAATATCCTTCCTTTCACACAATCTCAACTTATTATCAGATAAATGCAATCAATTATTATCAGATAAACGCATTGAAAATTTAGAATTCCCTTTACATAGCGCCATGCAATCCGAAAATTAATCAACACTATTTCACACAACACACAATGAAGCTTAATACAAAATAATATAGTACTACAGTTTTCCAAATTACCCCCCCCTTTTCCGATTAAAGAACTGTAATTCTTCCATTAATGTCACATGACATATCTCATGATCTCTCATTTCCCTCACACAAAATAATGCGTAATCGGAACTGAGTACTTCTCACATTATTACCAAAGTCCTAGGTAGTAACCTTTATCGCCAAACTACCAGTTACCATATTCCAAAGATCAGCCGCAAATTAAATTAAAGCATTCGTTATTTGGGGGAAGAGAAACGCAAGCGCAAATTCATGATGTTCATAATTTGTGCATTTCGGCGCTAGATAAAACTTTCTCCTTTCAAGTCGAAGCACTATCAGAGAACAAAATTTGTGGCACAGTGCCAAAAGTGAACGATAGTAAAATTTTTAATGGACTGAAAGCTAGAGGTGTCAGTTTATCTGATTTGGGTTCCTGTAATCGTGAGATTGGTCTGCTTTTGACAGCGGATATTGCCAGCACTTTATTTACTAATAAATCTGTTCGGTCCGAGTCAGGATTATTTTTGATTGAGACTTGTTTAATACATGTGTTAACTGGGAAGCATCAGTCATTTGGAGACAGCAATGATGATACTGTTTTGAATGTAATTACTCAATAAAAGATTTATGATCTTTAGAATACATAGGTATTTCAGATCCCATAGAAAATAATAAAAAGAATTTAGAACAATCTAGAGTTTTTGGAAAAGTTTAAAAATAATCTGAAAATTCTTTCGGACGGTAGATATGAACTCTGTTTATCTTTCTAATTTGATATGGCCGTTTTGCCGACAAATAAAGATTTAAATTGGAAGCGGCATAAAAGGATGTGCCAGCAAGCACAAGATAAAGCATTTTTAGAAGAATATACTACAATTTTCCAGGAATGGGGAAAATTGAATATAATTGAAAATGTAACTGATAATATTGACACGGTGCATTTTTTATCTCATGAAGATGATGTTGATGTTAATGATAATGATAACGATGATGATGATGACAGTCATAAAGCTAATGACGATGATCCGATCGTAAAGAATAATGAAGAAACTGTGCAAAATCAACTGAATCAATTTGAACAAGGATGTGCTGATCAAGCAAACGAGAAAACACCTGCTAAAAGTGCAGAAACTCCCGAAGAACAGAAACATAATTCAAGGAAAATACTTATCTCTGACATTCCAGCTGACACTACAATTTTTCAGGATTGCCGAACTTTTTCCAAAAGCATCTCAGATAACTCTGAATTTCTCACTTGTACATCCAAATGCTACTATCAGTTACATAGAAGAAAAGATGCAGTTGAAGCTTTTTAGACAACAAAGAATGCTGAAATATCTGGAAGAAAAAATACTGTTTCATATTCTTTAGCCGCTTCACGCCCAAAGAAACACCAGAAAAGAGCCTGCAAATACAAACTTGAAGACCAAATGCCAATCCAATTTGGACTTCAACTGAAACTTGGGTCTTTGTACCAAATTCTTCGGTCCTTATGAGACAATGAAAGTTCATCCCTCTGATTGTTACGAAGATATGCAATGATATGCCTCTGAAAGATATGCCATGAAGGCACCATTATCCTGTCAACCTCTGCTGATCAGATGAACTGGTGGTGCACAAAGTTAACATTCGCCACCTGGACATTGATTTTTTTCACCTTTTTCTGTTTCTTTTTTTTTTTTTATTTTTTATTTTTAGATCCACCCTGATCTTTGGACCCCACTGATGTTTTCAATGTATGTGACAGTTCTAAGACTATAAAGACACAAACTGGTAGAACTGTTAAAATGCCACTAAGATTGAACTTGATAGATTTGAATGTTTTGAGTAGCTATCCAGCAACTCGGGAGGATGTTGGGAATGGCACCACTACGTCAACGAATCAAAGGCCAGATACAGACTGATATTATGGGATGCCAGAGAAAAAAACGAGAAGTTGTGGTTTAGATAGCTAAGGACGATGTAGCTAGATAGATATTTCTTATTCATTTAACTTGTACAAATGTGTAAATAAAACTTTTTCCTTACGTTTAAAAGATCTGAAGTGCTCCATTTATGATAAGATAGCTGTTAATTCATCGGATAGATGACGTATGAATCCTTTCGGAGCTAGCCATTGTTTGAACGCAACGCCTTAACTAACATGACACACGAATTGGAAAGTTGTATATTGTTTTTGTGTATTAATATGTTGTTTTTAAGGCCTGATTTAAGCGGTTTTTTTAAAATTCATATTAGTAGTCTGCCAAATATAAAATTATATATGTAGTGATCCGTCAAGTTTTAAAGGTTGACGACCGCTGCCCTAAGGTATGTGACCCCACTTGGAAGACCACTGTTCTAAAGCATGATATATAAATTATGAATAACCTCTTAGCTTCATTTTCAATGTATGAAGAATAAGTCATAAAGATAAATTGCTGAAATATGCCATATAAAAATTGGTAACCTTAAAGGTGTCACGAATAATCTATTAATTCCTCAACAACCTTTCAGAAGACTTCATGTATTTCTTTAACATTTTTGGAGGCTCTGTACTGATTAACAGATGTCCTGGATAGCTATCATCTTCAAGTCACTTTTGCTTATTTATAAAACAGTCATATCACCAGTAGGTTCTCACTTGGCCAAAAGCAGTTTTACTAAAAGCTCGCTGATGTAAATTTTAATGAACACTTTTTTCCCCTTTTTAAGTTGTGCATGTAAAAATAAGATATGATTTAAATTGTCCAACTTAGAAAACCACATAATATCTGGAGATTAGTGCAAATGGGAAGGATAAGTAGTTAAGTTTTGGGTAGCATCTCGAAGATCCTAAAAGTTAGAGTAAGCAATTTTACATATACATCATTTATGCATAAATTCAAAATTAAAAATAATCATTTCACTTACTTGTACCAAAGGCAGAAGCTGTGCCAAATGGTTTACTGTTGCCAAACATGTTCTTTCAATTTGGCTGAAAAAAAGAAAAAGACTGAAATTTACTGTTCTGCATTTGAAAAAATTTCTTTTCCTGTAAAATTTTATATAATTTATATAATTAAATTCAAATTAGATATTTATTTTCCCCACCACCCACCATTTTGAAGGGATCCAAATGATTATATGACGTTAAAACATTACTAAAAAATTAGCATGTTCTTATTTTTACATTAAAAAATGAAACATGAAAATTTTGCTCATCATAATTTACATACACTAAGATATAAAAAAATCACAAAAAGCCTCTAAGAAATGGACAACTTGATTTTTATGGAATTCAAAATGTATGAACGTGTTCTGATGAACATTCTTCATAAGGATAATTAATAATTCAAATTTTAATACCATTCATATGAGAAACTGTTTAAGATAAGTGGCTCACTGGTGCGATACTTTTATACAAGTTGCTATTCCCATTGGTTACACACTTAACTTAAACATAGCATCGTTATTTTCTATCTGATTCTGTGAGGCAATATTGATAAATTTTCTGTATCTCCCTAGGCTTCAACGAATTCATCTAAATTCCTAAGATCTTAAAAAGCCTTTTCCCCTCTCTTCAGTGTCTTGGCTTAGATAACCTGAACCCTCAATGATCAAACAACTGCTTGCTCAACAGTAGTTCAGTTCACTCTCCAACTCTGGTATTTTGTGATCAGCTGATATTTTTAATGAAATGACACCAATAGAAAATCATCTAAGCAATACATTAGTTTTGCACTGTTGTTCTCATGTATATAGCAATCTGTTTTAACTAAAAATAATCCAAAAATTGCACAAACCTGGTACCAAAATGCTAAAACGAGAAGAAAAAGAGTTATTATGCTATTAAGTGAGCCACATTACATTCTATGCATGAAAAAAGCTCAGTCAGAGATTTCCCGAAAGACAACGAAAAATAAAGTATGTGGTCGACATGCTAAAATTTCCAAAGTGGAAAGCCACCTGGAGGGTTTGATGTTATGCACATTGCTGGATTACAACAAAAATACTTTTGGTGACTTGGTGTACTCCCTCATCAGAACTTTTTCATGTCTTTGTGGTGAGGTTGCGAATAATCAGAAAGTATCAACAGATCGCAATTATGCAATGCAAAATAATCCTAATGACAGCTTACTAAATTGAAGAACTGTCGAGCTTTTCAAGAATTTACTTCCAAGTTCTATAAATTTTGGTAAACAAAAGGGAAGTTTATTATTTAATAACTGCATAAAATACTTTCTCTCAAAGCAGCGTGTAACCACTAGAAAGGGTGTCCCCAGTGGTGGAAAGGGGAATGCCTCCATTGGTTTTCTTTTTGGTGGTAGACGGTAAATAAGATACTTTCCATTGACCAGCAGGCAGAAGTCCAACCCTTTAGGCAAAGGCACTATTTAGATTCAGTACCTGCGAATAGTGCTACTGCGTACAGAGCAGCCGACGTGTCAAGCTTTGATCATGTCCAGGAGCGTGATGTAAAGTCTACTATGAAGGCACTAAATCTTCCACAATTAAATAGCAGCGGAACACAAAGAAAAGATGGATGAATTGTAGTTTCTCCTAAGAATAATGATATTCATATTGCTTGTCTTCATGAGACAGCTAAATAAAAACATACTTGCCAACCTACGACACTAAAAAATCAGGAGAATTTACTTAACGAGAAAAAGATTTTTCAAATAATAAAAACATAGAAAGAAAATATATTTTTAATAATGAATTAACTTTAAATATTAACTAATTAATATTTGAAAGTTCAGCTACTATTTCTTAAATATAAAAATACTTCCGTGCGAAAAAAAGTTTTTATTACTTATACCTTCTAAAAGCATAGCATTACTCTATCAGTTTCCCTAATCATTAAATAATACTTTAAGCGGATTGCAAAGCATGAATTAGTGGAATTCTACACAGTAGAATTGCGTTAAGAACATTGAATGATGGTAAAATGGAGAGTAATAAAAGCAAAAAGCTTTGTTAAGGTACAAAGAAAAATGATAAAGATTTGTTCTTCATAAGATAAATTTTAAATAATTGGAAAATGTGTTTCTTTTCAAGCATGTTTTTTTTTGGGGGGGGGAGAACTTTCTATTGGGAGAGTTTTACAATTATGTTTTGTAGTATACTTTTGAGAACTGCCAATTTGCCAATTAAATTGCTCTGCAGGTGCAGAAAGTATTTCATTTTTCTCACACTTATTTTTAACAGCAAAAGTAATAACTACATCTTTATTTATTTAAGATACTTTATATCTTTTAATACAGCCTTTTCTCTCAAATCTAGAAGCATTTACTTCTTCCTTAAAAAATGTAAGAAGTGGGTTCTATCGATCGAGGATTCTAGGAAAACACTTCTCTAAACATAACCAGCATATACATAGTACATATTTCAGATTTTTTCTTATTTCATTATTATGTAGTTTTGGAACTGTTTAAGTTTTTCTTTCTTATTAGAAATCTTTTCAAGATAATAATAAATATCAATATTGTATTCATCCACACTTATTGGCAAAGCTGATCCTTTGAACGGCTAAATTTAACAGGCGACGTAGAACCATTCTAAAAATTTCATACATATAAAATATGAATCTTCTTCTACAACTACTTGTTAAATCAGCGCCCAAAAGGAATCGTTGTCTTCTGTGACTCAAAGGCAATTTTGAATGGAAGCTCCTTGAACACTAACAGGATTTACTCTCACCTAAAATAGCTTCAAAAGTTAGATAAGGTCTGCATTCTTCAATGGGTGCCAGCGAACGTCAGCATCACAGGTAATGAAAATGCAGATAAATTGGCAAAAGAAGTTTGAAATCTCAACAGTAATAATAATGTAGATGTCACCCTATCTAATGCAAATGCCATGACCAATACAGATTACAGACCAGCTCCATAACATCAGTGGCAATCGACTTATAATTGAACCTCGTAGAGAATTGAAAATTGACAGAGAGGGTAGGAATATCTATGGAAACTGTGATAACTGCCGGGACACACAGCTGACAACTGCACACAGTTTTGATTGTCCGCCACCCTTAATTGTTAGATATCGGTGTCTTGTTTAAGAGACCGAACATCTACGATGATAACATTCTGCAGATTGCCAGGTCTGTCATCTTCGACCCCGACACTATTTGAATAAGCTTTATCATACACACGGCAACAACATCATAAAATATTAAATTACTTGAACAAAATAAAATTTTTAAGCTATGGTTATGACTTGGAAAGATTTAACTTATCCACTAATATAACAAATGTATCTATTATTAAAAAAAATAGGCCTGTTGTATAATTAAAAAAAAAAAAAAAAAAAGAGAATACACTTTGAATTTCTTACATCAGTCAAAGTGCACTTTTTTATATGCAAGCATATCAAACTTGTCTTTTAGCAAAACTGTAATGGATCATCCAGAATGTTCTGCAGATTTTTGATGATAAATACAAATGAAGCAGTACAAAAACACAAGAAAATTTCATTAAATTACATAAGCAGCATTTTATTCTATGACTTTTTACCATCTTTCCAGCAGCTAGGGAAAAGTTTTTAAAATAAAAGTCATTAGGCTTATTCATACAGAAGTTATCACTGTGCTGCTTGATAGCCTCCAAAGAAGTAATTCCAAGCCACATCTTGTTAAGCACATGATTGAAATGCACGCCATTTTTATCTTTTTGTTATAGTTAAGATATGAACAAATGTTTTTTAGGTAAAATTGCAGGTATGGGCCATTACGGATTTTCATAAAGATTGCCAGATCATCGTATTTTGAATGAAACCTGTAAATAGGCAAAGAAAACCAATACATTAAAAAAAGAGAGGTTAAAAAGAGGCAAAAAAGGGGGGAAGGGCTCTTCGAGCAAATTCATAATCATATTACAGGATCAACCACATTAAAAATTAGAAATGCTACCTATCTCATATTAAAAACAGCAGCAACCAAAAAAAAGGGGGGAGGGAGGGAAGAAAATTGCTAAATCTCGCATATCTGTCCATATCTAAGCTACCCCCAGGAGTTGATCAGGAGAATTCCACGAAAATACTGGCCAGGATCTGTACTTAGGCTGTCTCACCCATGGGGGTATATAATCTGACTTCACAGGACTAGAGTCCCGTTTATTCGGAGGTTGGTTCGGGCTTGGCAGGGACTGTACTGGTACTGTCCTGTTCGTTCTTCGGCTGCTGAGGTAGATGTTGATATCTTGACTAAGTCCTTGGGAGTTTAGCCCTAATAGTCCCAGCGATGAGGACTGACAAAGTACCAAGTGTTTTAACCGAAGCTGATGGAGTGGTGCCCGGAGGCAAAGATGTTTTAGCATTGCAATTCTTAACTTCATTTTATTTATCATAGCGTTTTAGTTCTGTCTCATGCTTTGTATAAAGCCGGGCAGGGACTGTGGGGTCTACGGGGTCTACGCCGCCTTGACCCTTGTATAAATCTCTGGACCTTGTACAGTAGAAGTCCAGAAATCCGCAAAGCTTGGGACCAGAGGTTGTGCAGATTTTAGGACAGAAAAGATAAATCATATTATTCAGACTAAAAGTGCAAAATAAATAAGGCATTAAATACATTAAATAATATTATGCCAATAACTTATTATATGCTTATTAATTATTATTACATATATAAATTGATTATAAAATCCATTGTATTATATGTACACAGCATTGAGCTTTGCCGATTTCGCCTCATGCCAAGATTTCTGGTTTCGTATTCCGATGTTAGAATAACTGTTGCTGTAAAATTTCAACAGCTTTTCTTTATTTTTCCATACATCATACACAATTGTGTCGTAATACGATTCTGCCATAAACCGAGGAGTAGCACCTGCCTCCATCTTTTGCAGAATTTGCACTTTTTGCACTACCGTCAGTGCAACGTGTTTATGTTTTTCAACGTTGCAAGCAGTAAAATCATGAGTGCGTTTCTTATCTGTAATTGTATTAAAAAGGGCTGAAATTAAAAATATTCTTCATTTATCCACAAAATATCTGGATTAAAAAAAAGGCAGCACTAAATAATCTCGTGAAATAACAAAGCTCAGAAAATATAACAATACAAATCGTGAACTTGAAAGAAGAGTTGAGTGAATCGTCTGCTTTTTCACCTCAATGCAGATTAGAGGGGGGAAAAACTTTTATCATGATGTCAAGAATTTGGTATTTCCGTTATGACTCATTATTATTTAGTAAGTATTTTTTCTTCGATATTTCGTACTCAATGTTGCGGTTTCCGGAACCTATAAAACTGAATGTTTATATTTTGAAAAGCAACGCAGATTTCAGGAGTTGGCAGATTTTCGGTATTTGACTGTATAAATAAAATCCCGATATGGCTGGCCCCTAGAGGACGGAACCCGGGATGGAAGTCCCAGTTCTAGCACTCTGTCCATATCTAAGGTTAAATTTTGACACAAGAAAGAGCAAAATGAAGATAAAATTCAGAATGATGAGCATATGAACCATGTGCAAAATTATATACTGATAACAGGGAAAAAAAAAAAAAAAAACTATCAAGAAACATTTCTGACCATGCTATTCACATTACTAACAATAAATTTTGATTAGAAACATTGAAAAACATATTTGCTTGTATCTAAACTATAATAGAAGTAGAAGAGATAGTTTAAAATGGCACACATTTTAACAATATGCTACAGGTATCACCAGAAAAGAATAGAATAGAAATATTTTAAAAAGTGTTAAAAATTAATTTTTTTTCCAGTCAAGTATCTCTTACTTGTGGTGATAAGCATTTTTTATTGCTTTCAAAAATTAGGTAAAGCAAACGCCTGATGATAAACACCTCCAAACATCCATCATCCACACACTTTCCACCATTATATTATTGGGTGCCCCTTGTTTTTTGGCGATTCTTTTTTGATGCCAAAATCGATGCCAGGAAGGCACATTTTTAAGATGGCCACTACACAAAACCAAAATAAGAAGTTAAAGAATTGCACAAACTTTGTGTCCATGTACACATAGATCTATTTTCACTTGAAAAAAAAATCGGAGAATTGCACAAACTAGGCATTGCACACTGCCTTAATTCTGTCCATGTTCACATCAATCTATTTTCATTAAAAAAAAAAAAAAAAAAATCAGGAAGCTAAAACTATTATGGTAACCAAAAAGAAGGTTTCATCACCAAAATTTGTCTCTAATCGAAGGGGCACCCAATTCTACACTAGAGCCTATTTCTTTTTGCCAAACTTACTTTTATCCATTTCAATCATACTTCCAGATCCTCCAAATGCATCATTCTCTCTCAAATCTCTATAAAAATTTTCCAGCCTACCACAATGTGGTCACTACATGCAACTTATGGGTAAGAAGTATGTTGTTATTTCGTGATTTACATGATAAAATAGCTGAATATGGTCGGATAAGTTTCTGAACGATTTGGAACGGAAATGAAAAAAACATTAATTGACTGTGTAAATAAAGGTTTACTTAGTAGCCATTATTTAGTGTCCTGTTTGTAGGAAGGAAATGTGTATGATCTAAACATTGGATGATACTGGCACTACGGAGGATATTTTGGTTAGAGTAGAGAAAAGAGTACCACTTCTATTATCGCAAAGTTGTTTCATTTATGGTAGCCTAAGTAGTTGAATGGTATGGAAAACCTATTATGACGTAATCGGTTGCATGATTACGGTAAATTCATACGGGCTTGTGCGTTGGTTAGGAAGTATATTGCTTGTTTTGTGTGTTACACGGTAAAATGGCCGAATGTGGTAAGTTGAAGTTTCTGTACGATTTGAAAAGAAAGGAGAAAAGAGCACGACATGACTGGTGCGTAAATGAAGGTTTACTTAGTTGCCATTATCAGGTGTCCTGTTTGTAGGAAGGAAATGCGTATGGTCGAATGTTGTTACGGAGGATATTTTTTACTCTTATTTTGTGAATTTACGTGGCAACGCCAGTATGCATGTTCTAGTTCAGATAATTTTAAGAAGTTTTTGGATGCTGTTAAGGAATTTTATTTGAAAAAGACACATAAAGGTAAATGGATATTTCCTTTATGTAGTGTTAAGATCAATTTCCTTTTTTATGTTATTTCATTGTTTGATTTAAAAAATGCAGTTTATTGAGATTATATATTTTTTGTTGGCTGCCCTTTGACCTTTTAAGTGAATATAGATCGATGTGTACATGGACAAAGTCAAGGGAGTGCGCAATGCCTAGTTTGTGAAATTCTCTGTTTTTTTAAGCGGCTTTATGTAGCGGCGATTTTTATACGAAAAACTGCCGCTACACAAAGCCAAAATAACAAGTCAAAGAATTGCATAAACTCTGTCCATGGACTGCCAATAATGGCCAAGGGGCACCCGTAAATATATTTTTACCAAAGGAAGTATCAGTACGCCAATCTTCATGGGCTACATAGTTTAAACAGCTACTCTAAATTTCAAGTAAAAATTAAGATAAAATAACATGTCAAACAAGTATTAATTTTGAAGTCAAACGAGAAAGCCATTTTATGTTGGACAAATACGTGAAGAGGGGGAGGAAATGTAATATTCACAAAGTTTAATCTAGAAATGAGTTCCTTTCGTCCTTCCTTGAGCTTTGAACAAACCCTTTTGGCAACTTGGTGACACTGGCCATTAACCTGCAGTCTAATCCAAATATAACTCTAAAATATTCAATAAATTATTATAATTCATCATTATTTTAATTAAACGAGAAATGTCCAAGACCTTTGAAAAATGTTATAAATTTCAGTGTAACAAAATTATCATAAGACATCTGTTGTCAGGATTGTGCTCAGTGAATAATTTCTGATCTTCAAATAATTTTTTGAAATGATGTACTATACTTAAACGTAAGAAATAATGTCTCCCTTTAGTGCATGCATCCTCTACTTAAACACAACATATTAATACAAACGAAAACTACCCGCAAAACTAACAATCTGAAAGATACTTCTATGATATAGAGAACAGAAACAATAAAAAATAATACAACATATTAAAACCTCTAATGCTATCACTATCAAGAGGTTTATTAAAATAAAAAGTTCCCACATCACAAGTAATTTTATAAAGCTTCACATCAAAGTACGTCATTTGATTATAAACGTTTAGATATGAAATATAATGTATCTACATTTTTGAGTCAGTAATCTTTATTTTTGAATCACCGCCCCTTTCATCGAAGAACACTACAGGGAACGGAAAACTTTAAAAAGTCAATAGTTTCTAAACTGAAAGGAAAATATCAGTTATGTTACAATAAATGGTAATCATTATACTTCAAATAAAATCCAATAAATAAAAGATTTAAAAAAGAATTAGAACAAAAAACATTAGAACATACTAAACGATTTTCTATAATATTACCGCAAGAAAACAATGCTTTTTTTTGCAATGAAGTACATACAAACACGATTGCATTTCCACAACTGATATTTTGTAGTCGCAGTTGTAGTGTGTGTTATGAATTCAGAGGAACGCGTTAATAATGTTTATTGATAGATCCGCATCAACAAATTACTGAGAATTACTATTTTGCAGGTTAGACATAAGGATTAGTTCTGGATACTAGCATTAATTATAGCATATTTTCTGCACGAATGTAAAGAATAAAAATTCTGATCACAAAAAGAAATTTTATTTTCCCAACAATTTATCTGCATAGAAAATAAGTTACTTATTTCTGCATTTTATTATCAAATAAAAATAAATGAATAATATATATGGCATAATAAATGAACCTTTAATTTGTGTAACAGACCGAGTAATAATTCCATTTACTCTTTGCGCAAAATTCTCTCATTCTAAGTACTAGCCTCTTCGGGTAGAAAGTTACTGCCTTAGCCGTAGACATATTACGACCTTGATTTGTTTGTAAATATGGTCATGCTTTCAAGGTCTGCGAAGCAAGAACTGTTTATATGAGCTTAGTGAATGATGTGTACGTAGAAAGGAAGAAACTCAGATTTTTTCTATAAATCATAATTTTATTCTTGTTTGAGAGAAATGCTTTATGCTTAAAGCATTTTCTTTGCTACTCGTGTGCATTGTAAAAATGCAGGTCAGTGCAAATTATGTGAATTCTTTGGTGGATAGTTTGAATAGAGAATATGGTGGTTTAGGCTTCGAATTTAAACCTTTCAAAGTAAGCAAGTTAAAAAACATTACTTTTATCTATTGTTTAAATTTTCATAGTGATCTCATTTTCGCGGCGACATAGTTCTCTTTTCTTTAAATTATCGAACTTTAACGCTTCCCGAATTTAAAAAACGCGGTCCGATAACCAAAGAAGTAAAAATTAAAAATTTCTCTTGTTATATATTAAAATAATATCAAATATTGTGTAAAATAAAATTAAGTATTATTCTGAAAGTCTTGAAAAATATTTAGGTCTCCCACTTTTGAAATTTGTCATAGGTGTTAATGTGTATTTCTGCATTGTTAAATATGAAGAATTTTAAATATTTTAATATGAATAAAAGCTGAAGCAAAGAAGTGTGTTATAAAAAAAATTTGGTAGTTGTTCTCTTATCAAAACAGCTGAATAATTAATATAATATAAAAGAAGCTTGCCCAGATAAGAACATGAAATAGGCAAAATTCAATGTTAATGTGATATTTATTTTAGAAAAACACTATATATCGGCTATGCCCAAACTGTGGCTTGCAAGCTACTTTTGAAACAATCATTTAATTTTAAAAATATATTTGGATTTTGAAATATAAATCATATAGTGGCACTTTTTTTATTAATTCCAAATTAAACTTCTCAAATCATATTATGTATATAATAATCATGTTATGTATATAATAATTTAATTGATTTAAAACTGTTCACCTTCTGCTTATTGCCAGAGTAAGAAGCAGAATTGCAAATAATTCCTTTTCTGCCAATTACTTTTCATGGCCATGTTGCTTTTAGAGCAGATAATGGCCATCAGAATATCACAAAGTAAATGTACAAACATGAAAGTATTTTGTTAAAATAATGCTCTCTAATATTTTTTTCCCTCATGTTAATTTTATTTCAGACATTTTCTGCTTACATTCTTTTTGTGCAATCCTTTTTTCTTTACAACAGTCATGATCTAGTGTCTTGCACAATATAATTTTCCAGTACATTTACTTAATGGTACCCCTTCGCGAATTGTTTCTTATTTGATGCCAAGATTGTCACCAGGAAGGATCGGCACCAATTTCAAGATGGTCGCTACACAAAACCAAAATAAGAAGTCAAAGACTTATACAAACTCGGTGTCCATGTACACATTGACTTATTTTAACTTGAAAAAAATCAGAGAATTTCACAAACTAGACATTGCAAACTACCTTAACTTTGTCCAAGTACACATCGATCTATTTTCACTTAAACAAAATCAAGAAGCTAAAACAAAGCTAAAATGGTTAAAGTATATTTTAGGGTACCCCTTGGCGATACATGGATACCAAGTTTGTGTAAATCTTTGACTTGTTATTTTGGCCTGCGTGGTGCCGATTTGTGGCGCAAAAATTGCCATTACACAAGCCAAAATCCGTCATCCAACCTATAAAAAAACCTGAAATTCACAATTTGATCATAATCCAACCCATTAACATTCATCCTCTTAATCACCTCAGACATACTGAAATGATGGTACCCACAGCAAAATAATAGCAAGTACAAAATTACAAGGGTTCATACGAAAGGGTTACTGTTACAAAAAAATAGCCAAAAATCTAAATTTTTCAGAAACGTTCGGCGATATTCGCAGAAATACCCTCTTTTTAATGACAGAAACTAAAAAAAATAATAAAAATTTCCCAAGGCTAGTTTCGCCAACATTATCAACATTAGGATTACTGAAAAACCTATTTCATGCAGCGAGCATCCATATTTTACTAACAACCAAAACCATTTGGCGATTTTTTTCAAACAAAAACCAAGGGGTACCGTATAGTAAAAATTAGCTGATTTTCCTTGTAGGATACTACACTTATTCAGTTCTTGAATGGCTTGGGTAACTACTCTTTCAAAGAGGAAATTCATTTCTATACAGAGGCTCTTTCTATTTAGAGAAGAATTTGAAATTTGAGAATTTTATGATTACTGAGATAAACCTTTCTGCTTGTATTTGGTTAGAAGATTTATCACAACTTTATCATGTATGGGTGTCTTTCAAAATTAATTGTTGATTCGTAAGCAAGTTAAATGAGTTTAATGTAATTTTATCACAGTTTCCTCAATCACTCACAGTGATATCCTGCATTAACATTTTTTCCATATGAAATTCTATCTTTCGTAATAATTTTTTCTTAATCCTAGGCAGAGATTATCATTTATTTCACTAGTGTTTGAGCATCTTGAAATTTTAGGGGTCACCGAGAGAATTTACTTTATCACTGAATCGACAGCTCCGAGTACTTAAAATAATATACTATGAAGATAACGTAGTCTGAATCTACACACAAAATAGACTACTTAAACTAGCTCAAGTAATTAATGGCATGTATTTAAATATTGGCTAGCAAGATGGCTAAAGCTGGAATAATACTTTGGCAGAGCTAGCAATAGTACATATTTGCAAGGCGAGGCTGCTAATTTTAAAACATTCAAACCTCACCTTAATACTCAGCAACTAATTTGCATTCTCATGAGGACTGCAGAAGAAAGTTAAAAGGTCAATTCATAATATGTGGTTAATTGATTTAAAATCCTATATTATCATCAGTTATCCATTTTAACAGTAATGTTTCATCAAGCAATAAAAGATCAACTGACACAAACACTTCTGCAAAGTTTTCGTTCAAAATGCATACTGATGCTGATGAAATTTTGGTACTAGTATTCCATTTTGAGGGCTGTAAAAAAATTGCAGCGAAAATATATGCGCAAAGCGCCAAATCTAGCAAACATGACCATTTAACAGCGCGCCAAATCTAGCATACACACTGATTTCAAATTGCATAAGTTTAGATAGTTCTATATTTCTTAAGACACTATTGAGGGATGGGATTAATTTTTAAATCCTTTTTTGAGAACACTGTTGATTTAACAATTTCTGAATTGCAGAGTCATAGCTAGGGTTTTCAGCGCCCAGGGACAACTGAATATTTCGCGCCCCCTACTGCTTGCCAAGGATGGAAAACAATTCTAAAATGTCGTAACATCAGTTTGGCGACCCTGGGCGGTCCAGGAACAGATGCCCCCCGTGCCCCCAGCTGCCACCCTGCTGAATTGCCCATTGATGAAGTCTGCTGCAATAGAATTTTTTCAAAGAAAGGATCATTCATTATAGAAATAATGTTTTGAACAATCAACAAGAATAAATAATGCGTAGCTATAACTGGTAGCGAAATAGCGATGCAGGAATCCAGTCAGTTTTTTAGCTTTTTTTTATTTAAATTAAATATGATTTGAAATAGTTATTTACCTGCTTACATATATTTCTTCTTTTTTATATAAAATTATAATAATAAAAAGTATATATGAATTAACTTTTTTTATTTGAAGAAAAACAAAATTAATCTTAGTTAATTTACTATTATACTTCCTTTTTTGAGTTAGGGTTGCTGCAATTATTTTTGGCAGCAATGGCATCAACAATAGTTTGGCTATTTTTTATGATCCTCAAAATGGAATAGTACCTAAATTTCTTTGTCTTGTGATATTTTCTGGTGTGTTGCTTGATGAACTTCTTTCATTCTAGCCAATACAAATATAGCAATAAATTAGAGCTGGTACTTGGCATTTTGTTGCCTAGTACTTCCGAAACTTTTCTACCCCATTTTTTTCTGCTCCTTCCAGCTGCAAATGTTGCCTAGCCTCTGGTACCACACTTCTTTAATCTGCTGATATTTTTGGTCTTCCTAATCTTTGATCATTATAGAAGTCTGACATGTCTTTCACAAAAAATTAGTAACCCAATGAAAAGTTGTACTACAGTCTGCTGACTGAGCGTTAGAAATTTCATGCACTGTAATGTAAAACTCTGTTGGCATTAAACCCTGTAAATTTTTAGTTTTGAAGTTTGATCTTTCATTTTCTAAAGTCACAGTACCCTATACTCTTACAGACTTCCTTTCAAACTTTATTTCAGAGTTATGTTCTGTACACAAGTTATTGAATACAAGTTGTGTAATCATCAGGCTGATTGTGAAATAAATTTAAAAAAAGATGTGTTTTTTTTTTTTTCTAAATTGGAGTTATTTTACTGTGAAATTTAAGACAAGATGGTGTCATTTGATTGCCTTTATGAATCCAGCTAATTAACACTTAGAATAGAGTCAATCTGTATGTCAGTGGAGCAAGAACTCGGGAATACTGTATAGATGTATAGATGCCTGCCATCAAACATCTATACATGTGCAAAGAAATTTGGGGAGTTAAATGCTCATTATAGTCACAGGTATGTTTTATTTCTGTGTCATTAGTTGTGATTTACCCTGCATTTTAAAAACAGTTCAAAATTAAACAGCCGTGGTTAGAGTTCGACTATAGATAACTTGAATGTGTGCCTGATTCAGCGTTCATATGTCTTGGCATGAGTTGCTAGATTTATTAGTAAGAAGTTATATATTTCCTGACAATAGTATATCTGGTATAGGTATATCTGTTTCCAAATTAAGCGATGTATATGGCGCTGAAAAGTCAACTGTATGTGATATATCAGAAAAAGGAACTTTATAAATTTCAGTCAGTTAACGAACAGCAAAATCTATAGTATGGTTCTAGATCCAGAAAATACTGCTACCGATAGTGAAGAAAGTGATAAAGAGGTTATTGGACATGAAAAAACTTTGATTGAAAAGGTAGTCGGAATTCTTGACACAGCAACTACAGGACTTGAACAGTGGAACTTCGTAACAGAACAAGAAATTATTTCTGTCTGTTTAATTGAAGAGAATGTATTAGCTCAAAAAAAGAAGCATCTTAAACAATTTACATTAAAAAATGTTTGATAAAGTAAGCAAATAATTATAAGCTTTTTTTTTTTTTTTTGTTTTTTTTTTTTCTTTTTTTTTTTTTTTTTTTTTTTTTTTTTTTTTTTTTTTTTTTTTTTTTTTTTTTTTTTTTTTTTTTTTTTTTTTTTTATTTTTTTTTTTTTTTTTTTTTTTTTTTTTTTTTTTTTTTTTTTTTTTGTTTTTTTTTTTTTTTTTTTTTTTTTTTTTTTTTTTTTTTTTTTTTTTTTTCTTTTTTTTTTTTTTTTTTTTTTTTTTTTTTTTTTTTTTTTTTTTTTTTTTTTTTTTTTTTTTTTTTTTTTTTTTTTTTTTTTTTTTGTTTTTTTTTTTTTATCCTCACTTTTGGGATTTTAGAGACGAAACGTTCGGAGGACGGGGAAGAGAAGGAACGGGGAGGAGTGGGAGGGGGGGAGGGCATGCGAGAAAGCGAGGCAAGGAAGAAGGAAAAGGTAAGGGGTGAGAAAGGTAAAAAGAAAAGAAAAGAGGTTAGAAGTATGACGAGCAGGGGGAACAGGGGGATTGAAATGCAAAAAAAAAGACACAAGATAAGGATGGAAGGAAAGAAGAGTGGGGGGCCAAGGGATTCGAATGCGATTTGGGGGGGGAGATATCGCAATATCAGGGGTATAATTTGTGACTTTTCAATTTGACAAGTCTGGAAATCAGGTTGGTTAAAAGTAAAACAACTCTTCCCTTTTCTGTAGACTCAAAGATTATTCACATAGATAGTGGAAAAGTGCAGAAGCAGAGAAAGAATATCTTTTTTCTTCAAACAATTAAATTCTCTTGCATGACCTCGCAGGAATTAAACACGGTCTAGATATCTTATTGGATTTTTTGGAATTCATAAAGGGGGGGGCTTTCCATAATTCTGAAGATACCGCTTTTCGAAAATAAGATCATACTCCGTAAAATTAAGCCCGAATCGTGAGGGGCGGAACGGGTGTAAAAAGACATACTCCGAAAATAAGCCTATCGGTGGGGGTCGAAACTTTTGGAAAATAAGAGATTCCTCCTAAAATAATCCCTAGGTAAAATATGTGACAAAAAGAATTCGTTAAAAAATGCTGTGATTTATTAATTATAAGTATATATTAATGTTTATGCCTGGTTCTAATACTCGTATTTTCAGAGAATGTTTGAAACAAAATATTCCGGCGAGAAATTAATTAAATTGGTTATAATCATCTATCAGTTGTTTGCAATGAATTCTTGGAATTTATCTAACAAAATTAACAAAATTATCTAACCGTTTGCCTCGAAGAGATACGTTCACAGGAAAGGGCAACGTCATCCGTTAGCGTCGGCAGACTCTCGTCGGGTGTTGAAATTTGGGCTGAGTAACCCCCGAGACACATACGATGCAGCGACGATAGCTGTATCGCAGACATGAGAGATTCAGACCAATGATTCAACAGGAAAATGGATTTGGAAGAGAAGAAAATCAGAATATTAATTCAGATTTTATTTATGACGATGTTTCTAGAAGAAGATTACATGACTGCAATTGAATAAATTTACTTTCTGTATTCTCTGTTAAAATAAAAATAAAAATATATAAATATACTTTTATTTTTGTCCTTCCCCGAAAATAAGCCCTAGCGTATATTTTGGACCAAAAAGGAAAGTAAGACAGTGTCTTATTTTTGGAAAAAGACGGTATTGGTTAAATAAATTCCATTTCAAAATTATCAATTTCTGTCCACTCAAAAATTGACAAATCGGATGGGATTATTAATAGGTCTGTTAAATCTAGTTTGATTAAGAAGGAAAATATAGGCGTATAAGCTTCAAAGTGTTTACATCTGTTGGAAAATTCATCCTTAGTGCTTCAATGTAGGTTTGAAGTTCACCTTTGTCTAAGGTCATAAGTGCTTTATATTTGACAAGAATTTATAGATGCTAGTATTAATATCTATAGCGCAGTGGCTAGTGCATTGCACAGCAGCACCAAAGGTCCGGGGTTCAATCCCTGGGCTGGGCAAGGTCGACTCAGCCTTTCATCCCTTGAGTGGGTCGATAAAATGAGTATAAAGTTCACTTGGGGACTAAACACCAGAGGTCCTACGACAAACTGATCATATGTCTAGGGCATATGCTCATGCACCTCACGGTCGAGAAAGCAGGTATCGGGCACTGCAGGCCTTGGCCCACTAGAGCTGTTGCACCACTGAGTTTAGTTTAGTTTTAATATCACGGGGAAATATATTTAATTTTGTAGCAAAGCCTTCCCAGTATTCAACTGTTTGGCCCTTTCAGTGCGATTCTTAGTACATTGAAATGTTTAGTCACATCAGTCAAAAATATTAATTTACATAACCATTCTTTATTGTTCATTTTGGGAAAATGTTGATTCTTCTCATTAAGAAAAAGTTTAATGTGTTCTATGCACAAAACTTACGCAAGATATTACCTCAACTAAGCCAATGGAGATGGCTGTTGTAGGGGAGATCCACAAATTCACTTTCTATTTCTTTTAAAAGAGTTTTGAATTGCATGTATACAAATGAAGGAGACACTATCAAATTAACCATTTTAGCAGCAGTGTTCATTCCAGAAAATAAGTACTGTGACGAAATTTTGGCAACTAAACTTTCCTCATGGCACAGAGAGGAGAGGCAAGGCAATTTATCTTTGCGTGATAACTGTGTAGAGTGCCACTGAAAATTGTACCGCATGGCATAGGTTGCTGACGCCTGCTGGAGAGTATTGTGAAAAATGAGGATTGTTCTACGTAATTTTAAAATGTAATGCACTAAGTTGAATGAAATATTAATTTGCAAACAGGAATTTCAACATGTTTAATTAATAAAAAATGCCAATCTTTGTAAAATTAATTTATTCCTTATTCTCACATTGTAAGGAAAATCCAATATTGAAGAGATAATGGTAATTTTTACATTTCTCACTGTTCTTTTATATTTGGCCAATTAAGGACCACTGACATATATTTTGTCAAAAACTGAGATTCTCTTGTAATTCTAAAATAATAATAATAATAAAGGAGTTCTTGGAAAATTTCTTTCTTAAAGACGATGTTTTTACCTTCAAATCCAATTATCATTGGTGTTTGTTTTTATTGCATTAAGTGCATTTTTTTCCTTGTAAGGAATTGTAATGGGACCGTGGAATTTGCTAGCTGATGAAAAAGAAAATATAGTATGTGACTTCCAGAAATGTGACATTTTGCCTAACAGTAGAAAATGCAGAAACTCACATTTATGAAGTTGTACTTCATAAACAGTGAAATTTTATGGATCATAATTTATCCACTGATTGCAGAATTTGTGCAATTCTCTAATGTTTTTTTAAATGAAAATAGATTGCTGGGTGTTGTTGTAGTATGCAATTCGCTGCTTTAGTTAATAATTCAGTTTTAAAATGGCCCACTAAAATTGGTTCTTGTCATTTCTTTTTTCCCTCCATTTTATTGCATGTTTAAATATAAATCTATTTTTTTTTTTTTTTTTTTTGTTTTATGAAGTTATTATTATTTAATTAATGTATCTTCCACTGTGCTTCTGCAAGTTGATGTAAAAGTGCTTGCCATGTAGTACTTAAATGTTGTGTTGAATCTTTAGCTTCAAAATTTCCTAAAGCCATCATTCAATTTTGTGAGTATTAGTACCCTCTGCAAAACAAAGTTATTTTTGTGGTTTACAGTTTTGTGGTTAGGACTTGTCACTCATGATAATTGAGCCAGTTATCATTTTTTTCTGAATTAGGGATAGTGACATTGCAGCATCTCATCATTCAATGACAGAAAGACATAATCATGTTGGTCAAACTATACTACACCAGTATTGATTGTTATGTGCATAAGAAGCCATAGTGTACACAGTGCCAAATTTGTTCAATTCTGTGATTTTTTTAAATAAAAAAACAGATCACAGTGTGGATGGGGAGAGCTGACAGTGTGCATGTTACCAAGTTGTATATAAGGACGAATTTCTGCTATTCTCTGATTTTTTTTTTTTAAACTAAAATAAAGGAATATAAGATAAAAGTAAAGTGTAATAAATAATAATTTTAAAATAAGGCAAAAAAAAGATTGTAGATGTTTCTTGCCTTTTGCTGGTTGCTGTTTTATAAAAATTTTCTTATTCTTAGTGCTCCTTATTTTTTAAAGTGGCTGTTGTCTTTCGTGTTTTAGCTTGTCAAAAAGTTAGTTATTAACTGTTTTTTGCCCTTTCAGGGGAGAAGCACAGATAACCGAAATATAGATATAAAAGTAAATAAAAAGTCATTAAATAATTATTAATATAAATTTTTATTTAAAATAATTACAGATCTCAGAATTTAAAAATGCATTATAGTTCAAATTCCAGGATCCAGAATCGCTGGGACTTCGGTGATTCCAGATTACAAAAATTTCTGGATTTTAGATCATCATTTTAAATATAATAAAATGACATATAGGCTTGACAATATTGGGGCTTTGCTTGTTGTTTGGGTCAGATAGAGAAATATTACCTTCCTCACAAGCACTCAAGAGCCAAAAAATTGTGAAATCAATTTATTGTCATTGGCACAGTACCACTTTCTAGACAAGCAGGCGTTTTAAAGTGACATGCCTGCAGAGAATCTTAGTGGAGAAAAATTGCATTTGTGTCTTGCCTGCCTTCTTTTGTTATTTACTGATTAGATTTTTGGTCCGTATTACAGACTTTGTATATGTAATTTAAGGATTTGTTTTTGAAGATTCTTACTGATGTATCACTTTATTCTGAAAGCATTGAGAAATGCTTTCACACAGAACATGAAAATATTTTATTAATGTGATGCATATTTTAGTATCTATGTAATTTTTCTTTTATCATAGGTTGGCTGGTATAATTCCTTGGTGCAGTCTATTTTTAAACTTAATTATGATGAAAACAATGTAGCATTTCTCATAATAAGTATACCAAAGATGTTTGAAAATGCATTTATACCATTTTTAAAGCAGAAGAATAATGAGGTTTCTGGACTGAATGATCCTATTGATGAATGTATGATGTTTTATCTTTCAAAAATAAGTCAGGTAATTATATTGATTAATTCTGATACTTTAAATGCCTTGACTGCCATGTGCATCACTCATGATTCACAGTAGCCTTACAATTTGGAGCCATTCACTTCAAATGTGATTCACTGGTTTTGTATTGTTTGAAGCCATGTGAGTTGCTGGGGCTTCACAAACACATATATTTATATGGTTAAAATTATTTATATGGCTTCAGAAAGTTGCTGTGTATGGTGTCTGGCTTCTAGAAGGTTTTTTCCGTAAATTGTTATATAATTTTAACATATATTTTGCTTCAATAACTTTTAAATAATTATTACAAGTTCAAACAAAAACTAGGTACTGAACTGATTTTTAGAATAAACAGGACAAGAAAACATTAAAATTAAAAAATAGCTCAACAGAGTATTTTACCCGATTTTGCTGTGGCAGTCAAAATGTTAAACATATTAAATTTTAACTATATTGCCTTCTAATTTGTTTCCGAACACATCCCTACTTTTCTTATGTTTTATTTTTATTATAGTTATTTCCTGATCACAAAATCAAAGTGGTTCATGATTTTGAACTTCATCCAAATAGACGTCCAAAATTGGTTATGCAGAGTGTTGCTCATGCCTCAGGTGCTGCTTATCTTTATCATCCAAACAGTATAAATAACACTAAAAATAAAAAAGTAGGTATAAATGCATAATTCAGTTTACATGCATGTTTGATATTAGTATCATGCTTTAATCAAGGTTATGTATCTCTTTTTTCTTTTTGGGTTGAGAAAGTTTTACTTTTTACAAAATTCTCATTTTATAAACCCCCCTTTAAAAAGTATTTAGTTAATTTTTTTTGGGAAGATATGTTCCTGGGTGTCTTCCGTAAATGCCGTTAAATAACTATATTTTACTGGTTGGGGCCATTGGGTGTTTCTGCTGTTCCACATAAATATATTGGTTTTATTCGCTAGCACCCATAATAAATTCTGTGCTAATTTTTTATTTGTCCATAATTTTTTTAAATTATTCTATAGGTACTTTTAGCCCATAAAAGTATAGCCTGTTGAGCTCCGCTCTGCTTTGGTGTGGCATTTACAGCTATTTTTCAATGAAATACAAAGATTTTTGAAGTGGTGACTGTTTCTCTTATTATAACTTTAAAGTACTCGCGGGATCGGACTTTATCGGTTTCGATATTCCGGATCTATCGATTCCTCAGTCATAAAATCGTTTGAACTGTAAATGAAACTTCTTATTATTAAAATAACGAGGGAAAAAAAAAAAAAAAAAAAAAAAAAAAAAAAATTAATATTTATTTGTTTTTTGTTAAAACATTTTTCACTGCGTGCATGTGTAAGCTACATTACGCATAAAGAATTAGAAATTGAAAACTATTTTATTGAATTATATTATGATATTTAAATGAACGACGAAGTAATCGAGATGAAATACTGGAATATTTAGTAAGGATATGCAGCCGCGCTGAAATAAAACACATCTGGCTCAGAACGAAAGTTGCTGACAGAACATCCAGTTAGATAAACGAACTGTAGCGTATGATCGGCTTTTATCCATTTTTTGCAGCAATTCCACTTTTTGTTTGATGGACATCGAAACATACTTTCGTTTTGTAGATCCTTTGGGAGCTCCAGCTCGGAAATTCTATTTGACATAATCGAAAGTTCAAGCTTACTTTTAAAATTGCTCTCAGTCTGCAAAAATAATAAGCCGGATCCAATTCGAAGATTAGGAACACGCAATCATCAATTAACTGAAATAGATATTTTTAGCTTATACCGTTCGTTATACATTAAACGCACACGCGAAACGTATTCTCTTCACTTGCGCACAACACGCATAAATGCCTATGCTCATGCGCAGAAAGTTTTTAGCTTTGAGGTCCGGATTATGGGTGTCCGAATTAACGACGTTTGACTGTATTATGCAATGCTTAAAATCACTTAGATGCTTTAGTGCTTACACATTATGCTGTTGACTATGAAACTATCAGCAAGTTGGCAAAAGCTGTGTCAGTTATGGATAATCATGACATAATAGAACACTCATAACATTTGCACTTTCATTTGGTGTAGTTCAATTGATTCTCGATAATTAGTCTCCTTTTGTTTTTATGAATAAAGATGTAAATTAACTGTTGTTGCTGTGTTTTTCCTGCATTTTGCAAAATAAATTAATAAAATTTGAGACCTATCCTTTACAGAATAGCAAGCAGCTGACAATTTTTAAAGTTATGGAACATTGAAAAATGTGTGCATTAATGGACATGATATGTTCAGCTGAATATGACTGACAAAACAGTAGTAGATTAGAACCATTTCATGCATAAAATTTGTGCTCATAGTGTTCTAAACAGAACTTCTGGGGAAATTGGAAGGTTTAATAAAACAGTTATGAATGAAAGCCTTTATGAAATTCAAAAATGAAGCGGGTTGAATACTGTTTATTAAAGAGGCTTTATTTTCTTCAGAATTTCATAGGAATGATTGATGCAACATTGGTGGGATCTCTGTAAGTTTTCAAGATTTGATGGTAACAAGCTTTCATATTTCAGGGTCAACAGGATAATGTGTAAATACCAGTTGCAATTTTCATTATGTAATAAAGATGTGATATTCTCTTGCAAACTTATTCACTTTATCGAGCAAGTGAAGGCTTATTCGCCAAAATAAGAGCAATAGCTCTTTTAGAGGTCACTCACCAAGACTTCTTATTGGAAGTATGCTAGGAAAATTCAGTTCCTATTTCAGGGGGAAAAGATAATCTTAAAAGCAAGTTTAATTTTATTATTTTTAAAGTTTCTGAAGATATTTTTTATTCTAGTATTTTATTGTGAGTTTTATGTTGAAAGAAGATTGATTCTATTTGAAAGAAATCAGTCCTGGGAGTCAGCAGTTCGACTGAGTCGATTCTTCCAATCCCACTGGTTGCTCCATCCTCATTTACTATTTTTGATTCATTCCTTGTTCTCATCCATATTCATCAGAGTTATTATTAGTGAGCTATGAGTCAACCCATAAAACAGCAGTTTTACCCACCCCTGATACACAGCACATGAAAATAAGTGATTTTGTTAGATTAAATATTTAACCATGATCATGTGATAACCTCAGAGCCAGATGATAAGGCCTTAAGCTATTTGAGATATGGGGCCCTTTATAAGTGTGTTATAATATATTTTAATACTATTTAAACAATATTTTAATTTGGGGGGGGCTAAGTTATAGCTTGTGTTGTTTATACGTAAATCCAGCCCCGAATAACCTGACTTGTGTGTGATTATTGTAGTAATTCATTTTAATTGTGAGTATGTGTATGTGGTTACATGGTTATTCATTATGCAGTTTAATTTCATTATATTATGTTTTTACTATAAATATAAATCATATTTATCAAAACTAAAGGGATAGCACAATTTTGAATGTGCTAATGGAATTATCCATTTATTATTTAACTGCTATCACAGTAGGTTTATAATTTTCTGCAGCATAGTGATTTTCAGTGTTATAATTTATGTTATTTAAAGTATAAGATACCTTTTTTAGTGGAAGAGGATATTGTGCTTAAGTGGTTAGGTTAATTATTAAGCTGTTTACATGAAAATCAGTTTCTGGACAGAGATTTCAAAGATTTAATATTTTTTTATACAGTATACTGAAATCACATGTTTTTATTATAAAGTACACTGTCAGCCAAAATTTTATCATCATTCTATACTGTAAGAATGTGCTTATTTGTTTGTGGTTTGTTCTTATCATCTATATGACTTTGGACAGAAATTTTTTAATGGAAACCTATCTCGATGGTTCACAGAAATATTTGGTATGTACATATTAATGGTAAAAAAGACAAAATTCACCAAAAAAGAGTGAATAGTTGTCAACTTTGGCATCGTGGCACAAATTAATTGCTATTGCAGCTATATGACATCGCTAAGTTTTAAGAATGCCTATAAGCAGCAGTTTTAAGAATAGATTTTTTTTTCCTGGAGTTTATAGTTCAGTCATGTGCTTGTGGGAATGAAGTTTAAGCTATTAAGTTTGACCGTCTCAAGTGCAACCATGTTTGGCGTTCTGCCAAAATACATAGACTCGTCCAAAAGGTGCGTATTACTTGCTGTGCCGTGAAAGGTCTTCTCTTCTCTAGAAAGAATGCTGGAGAGAATAAAAGTCCCCATCCTTCCACCCTATTTTGAGAATAATTCGGTCCGAATGGTGCATGCGTGTTTGCGCTCATGGTTGCAGATGAAGCGGTCGAACTATAGCTTCTTACAGGAGTGTAATATATTGCCAAGTAACTGTCAGCGTTACAGTTTGCATATTCCAGAGTGAGTATGTAAAATACGCACTCTGTGTGTATTTTACATACAAACATATCACAGATTACATATGCACAGATATGTGCGCATATGTAATCTGTGATCTGCATGTAATCTGTGCATATGTAATCTGTTATATACATTACATATGCACATACATGTATTATATGTACATACATGTATAAATATGCACATATGTATATTTTACATTATACATACATTACATACACGCATAAATATGTGTATGTAATGTATGGGGTTCTCCAAAATGATAGATCAAGAAACATAAGGATACTGCAAGACACCATTTAATTTTGTATTAGTTCATGTGGTGGCAGAAAGTTTGTAGCTCAAGGTTAAAATTTAAAAAAAAAATTAAATTGATGCTATTTTAGAAGTAATTGCTAAACATTTTCCACCCGAAATTTCAGAAACAAAAATGTATGAGATTGCCTCCAGAGTTAGCAAATCCTTGTTCTTTGACACGTGTACCGAATATTGGTTAACTATGGTCCTGTTTATGACTGTTATTTGCCTTCATGTTATTATTAATTTCAAACTTAATTTTGGATCCAATAATGCTAGCTTTCACCTTAATAATAATAACTTTATGCATTTTTCTTATTCATGTGTTACTTTTGACTTATCCCTTTCATTGATGTATAACTAAGAGTCACTGTTTGCCATTTAAATTGTGGCCATAAAATATTAAGTATTGTTGTGTTTTTGAAGTTTTAATTCTTCTGGATGAAAAATTTATAATTCTTTTTTGTTGTGGCTTCTTGCACATTGAAATGTAAATTTTAAACTGAGTGAGAAAATCTTTTACATTTAATCTAAAATATCATGCAATTAATTAAAAATTTTGCATGCATTTGGGAATTTATTATTATTTCATTGAATATCTTGAATTATATTAGAATTATATATAATATATGTTGATTTCTTTAATTGATCAAAATAAGAACATATTGCATTTTTGTGCATGTGGATGGGTTCAATTTAGACTCCATTAAAATCCATATGTATGGGAAAATTTTTAAACCTGAAGTGATTAAAATAGGATAGCAATTATTCTCTCTACTGAGCAAGCAAAGTTCCAGGACCAGTACATATTAATGTGAAGTAGGATGGCACTTGTGATGCATGGCAATATTCATTCTGACACATTTCATATAAATGTCAAATGCTGGCTTGCAGACTTTGGTGCTCGATATTCTGCAATTGCTCAACAAGTTCATACATGTTGTTCAGAAAGCCGTAACTGTAACTGGCACCCTATGTCCTATACATATGTGATTGATGTATGGTGATCTCACTGACCACTGTTACCTTATACAGACATTCTCTGCAGATATAAGCATTTGTGGTTGAGCATTATTTTGCTGAAGGATACTGCCTAACAGATGTTACAGCATTGGTAATACAACAGGCCACATGATGATAACATATTTGAGTTATAAAACTGCTGGTGAGGATAAATAAAAGTGACAAGATATCACACACTATGGTTTCTCAAATGGCTATGTGAGCTATGATGTTCATATGCTGCTCCTGAATGATATGAGGTTAGCAGCATTGGTCAAACATACTCCATACACGATTTTTCTGGCCATCTGAGAAAGCAGAATCTTCTTCATTGCAGAACCTGAAATGGTTTCAGTCTAATCAGAGATGTAGCTAGGAGAAGATTCATCGGAATCAGATCCAGTCACCACTTTGAATAGTGTTGGAGTGCTGAGAGTTGGGAGTCTGAAGAACTAGTTCCTATAATTTATGTACTTTAAACAGATCCTCGCACTGCCAGATGGAAAAAAAAACTCCATCCAGGAACAGGGGCAACATTGGAAACAGGGGTGATCAGTTTTACTAAGATGCATTGGTTTATTTAATGTTCTGTTTTTTAAACACTAGATGGAACCAAAGCAAGCCAAAAGTACACATATGTACATACATAACACACATAAAAAATAGGTCGGAGACATTTCTGGTTAATAGTAAAGGAAAGACTGCTAGTGTTTACAATATAACAAATTAAATTTTTGGCACGCTTTCGTACAGCTCTTGGTGAACTGAAAGAACTGTCATTCCATTTTCGGTAGAGTGAGAGTGCTGATCATTTGTTCAGTCAAGAGAATTGGTTCTTTGAGTTGATTCCAGAGCGGATCGGAAATCTCTAGTCTAAACATGCAGTAGGAGATGGGAGTAAGTAATTCTGGATGGAAGGTAGAGAAGCTATCAGTGTATGCTAAAACCAGCTTTTAGTATTACTATCATCATAACAATTACTGATGTTCTGTAATAACACTGTGTGACTTTGTTATGTTGAATAATTTCAAAGTACAATCAGTATGCTTCGTGTGACTATTTCATGTTGAATAATTTCGAAGTACAATCAGCTTGCCTCCTTGAAGGCAGGGAGTGATAGGTCAAGCTGGATCAGCAGAACTATCATTGGCTGAGTCAAAAAAAAAGTCTTTTGTATATTCTCATTAGCTATCAAGCAACACTACCATGCAATTAATACATATTGATGTGGCAGGCAAGCAATGTACTTGATATATTTTTTTGGATGGCCTGTGAACTTTAAGATCTGCACTGTGCTTTTATTGGCTGTATATTCTATAATTTTCGTGTTAAGAGATATTTGATGACTATGTTTCAAGATTGTAGGATTATTTTTATAAATGCAATTAAATTTTTATGCACTTACAAAACTTTGTAAGAGTGTAATTTTAAAGGCTCATTTTAGGCATTTATAACAATTTAATAACAAATAAAAATATTTTGTTCTCTAATATTTTTAGATGTTTGGTGTGTGCATTCATCCGCAATATGGTGGATGGTTTGCTTTGCGTGCGGTAGCATTTTTTGAAGATCTGCAGTGTTCAGATCTACCTCAAACATTTCCAAAGGATGTTGTTCCATCTGAAGAAGACAGAACTAAATTACTTGAATTGTATAATTTTCATTGGGAAGATTGGAGGTTTCGTGATATTATTCCTGTTACTGAAAAATATTCAGATCTGCAAATAAAGTATTTTTCAACTCCTCCAGGAAACAGAGGTGAAATAATTAATGATATATTGAAGTCTTACAATTTATGACACCACTAAGAGTTTCTTTTTAGTTATGTTTAAACATATTTCAAAGTTGGATCTGATTTATAATATTTTCTTGTGGCATTTAATTTTCATTTTGTATGTGTTGTTAATTATTTGTTTTATGTTTTTTAAGTGGTGCGGTTTTTGATGTAGGTAACATTTCTTTGCTATGAATCTCATGTTAATAATTATTTGAAAATTTAGTTAAAGTTGTTTTTTCAAATCTGATTTAAGTTGCTCCTTATATACATATATATATTTGTTGTTTAAATGTTTTATTAAGTCTTATCTTTGAGTGCATAGTATGAAAGTGCTCAAATATAAAATGTCATATACTATTACAAACGAATCGAATTGAAATATTTATTTTCAAATAGATCTGATTTGTTTATAGTTTCTTGTTTTAAATTTCTTTCTCTCCCCCCCCACACTTTTCGATTTATTGCATTTGTGTTTTCTTGTAGGAAAAATTACCTTACATATTTTTTAAAGCACAAGATAATTCTTTTTTTTATTTAGTTGTTAACATTCTGTTAATTACCATACTCATTACAGTAGCATGTAGTATTTCTCTTAATTTTAAAACTGAGATATGTACATGTTTGTAAAAGGAATTAAACATAAAGTAATGAAGCAATATTAGCCATAATTATGGAGGATGGGAGGCAAAAAATTATTCATTGATATAGGATTATTATATGTAAACAAGGATGAATCAAAGCATACTGTCAGAGTTTTATCAAAGTACTAGTTTGTGTTATCATTCATATAAATAGCATGAAAACTAAAGACTTAGTGTTACATTTATTGTATATAGCACTGAGTTAGATAACACTTTAACAAGCAAAGTAGTGTTGCAAAGGAAACATTATGTTGTGAAATAAAATAAAGAAAAAATGAAGAAAAATTTAACCAGAAGAAAATGAAGTTATTTTTGTTGTACTGTAGTTCATTTCATTTGGAAATTGGCTATCTAGCTGCCTTCTTCCAACTTCTTTTTTCAGTTAGTCAAGAAAATTTTTTAAAAAATGGGAAGTTCCAATAATAGTAAAATATTATGCATGTATTGAGAGTGTGCCTAGAAATAGCAATCCTTTGGCTTACTGAGAAAGCGCACACTTTCTTCTCCTGTTTCTAAAACTTTCTTAATTACACTTTTAGAGGGAAAGCATTTAGCGTTAATCCTGCTATAATACAGTCAAAAGTCGTTAATCCGGACTCGTCGGGACTTCGGCGATTCCGGATTATCGATTTTTCCGGATTATAGATCATCAGTTTAAATCTCGTAAGATGGCATGCAGAAATTCTAAAATTAAAAATATGAAACCGAAATTTATGAAATAAAGAACAATTATGATCTAAAGGGTATCAAAATTTGCAAAAAGAAAAAGCTTAATATTTATTTGTTTACTTTATTAAACATTTCTTTCAATGTAAGTTGTTTAAGTTTGCTTCGTTTCATGTGATAATACTTTCTCTTTAATTCTATTAACAGACATAATTTCTTGTTCAGTTACAAAGTTCCGCGTTCAAGTCCTATAATGTGTACCGACTAATTTGTCAATCGAAATTTTTTTGTTTTCAATAACCTCTGTCACTTTTCTTCGCTATCGGAAGCGAATTATAATGACGAGGAACTTGTTTTAAATCATATCAAAGACGGAGCATATCGAGATGAAATACTACATTTGGTAAGGAATTATAAGCCAAATAAAATAAAAACATCTGCGCTGAAGATAGTGCTGACAAATCAACTTCCAATTCATTAGGCGCCCGCCGCCGAGCAGCGTGAAATTGATAAACAGATTTCGGATTTCAAAACATACTTTCGCTTTAGATCCTTTACATATTAACAAATATATATCGGAAATTCTATTTGATATAATCGAAAGTTTAAGCTTACTTTTATAAAATTGCTCTTACAGTCTGCAAAAAAATAATAAGCCGGATGCAATTCGAAAATTAAGGAACAACGCAATCATCAACATTAACTGAAATAGATAATTAGATAATTTTAGCTTATACGTCCATTATACATAAAATGCGCACGCGAAAACGTATTCTGCACTTGCGCACACTCATATGCGCAGTCGTAAAAGGTCTTACGCGCACGCGTGAACGCCTCTGCGCATGTGTCAACGTGGCGCATGCGCAGAAAGTTTTTAGTTTTGATGTCCGGATTATAGATCATTCCGAATTATGGGTGTCCGAATTAACGACTTTTGACTGTATTAAATTAATTTACGAATATCTATGTGCATATTTTTTGGAATGTAGTATTTTTGTTGAAAACCGCTATGAATTTTCTTTAAATCAGTTTCTTCTAAATCTGGATTTCATGAAGTTAAACTTATGAAATTCAGGTGCTTAAGTTGATTTGTGTCAATGAAATTTAACATTTATTTTGAAACTGATGCTTTTTTAATATTGTTTCTGTTATGGTGGACACATTCAGTCAGTCACTTCACTTAAATCTTCAAATGTTTTTTCTTTGTACACCTAAAAAATTTAGTTCTTCATTTAATTTTTAATTAATTGTTGTATTTACCTGGATGTAATACACTTTGATTATTAAAAAGAAAAATGTACAGTTAGTTGTTTGCTACAAATCTTCTTGTACTTATTAGGTCATCTTTGGATAATATTGAGGTGTCGAATAGAAAATGTGTATTAGCAAAGCAGCCAAGGTGGAATTGAGTTGTCTATTAATTAAATATAGTATATATATCTTAAACCACTAAATATTTCTTTGCATCACCAGAAAAAACTTTTAAACATCAGGTAATAATTTTCATTTAAAAATTATTAAATTTTAAAAACTTGACAGACAATTTAAGGCCATGATAGTAGTGGCAGTATTTGTAATAAAATACTTCCTCACAGATTGCTCGTACAATATATTAATGATGAAGTTTAAAATAATAACCATAAACATTAATTGCTTAACTCATTTATTTTAAGTTACAATCAGATATACATAACATACAAGAGCAAGACATAATAATAACAGTAGTCTTTTAAAAGTATAAGAACTGAAGATCTCATGCATTGTGTTTAGTATATACTGAATGCCACAATAAAAAATTGCATATCTCATAGCAGTTACAGTTGCTCTAACAGCTTCCTTTTATGTTAAATTTATGCTTTCCTCTTGTCTTATGGCAATTATGCTTTGCATGCTGCTATGATGCAGAACAATCATACTCAGTAAAACTTGCATGTAAATATTTCACGATACAATGCACATACCTTAATAACATTTTAAATTATTCAGAATGAAATATGATTATTTAAATAAACAAGAGTTCTGTAGACTTCATTACATAAAAGAACTATTATTATTACATATAATCATTTTATTACATATTTATTCTGTGGACTTAAAAGATGTATTAAATCCTCTAGATCAGGGGTCAGCAATCTGTTTGTCGTTAAGGGCGCAATACTAAATTTGAAAATCACCGAGGGCGCATATTTTACAGATAATCAACACATATAAATAGGCATTAAAAAAAGATTTTTTATAACTTTATTTTGTTGGTGTCATACATAATGATACATATAATTCAGTGTGAAACTTGGGTGTCCATATTTTCAGCTAATTTCTTATAATTGGGGATATATTTAGAGTTAAACAATTATCTAAATGTGAGTCATTAAGCTTTGTTCGGTATTTTGATTTCAAATATTTCATATTTGAGAACAAAGGCTCGCAATTGTATGTTGTTGCACAATATGAGTAAATTTTTAGCGCACATTTCCTTAAAATAGGATACTTATTTTCATCAACTAAGTTCCAAAACATTTTATCATTACTATGCGCTTTTAAAATAATCATACTTTGCAAGTTTATTATTTCTAATTCTAGTTCTTTGATATTATGAAGCTCGAAATACACTGAAACTATTTCAAGGACATCATCTTCAGTAACATTGAATGGATTTATGAAAAATCTTAGAACAGGTTCTAATGCTGCAAAATCTTCAAATCTAGAAGAAAACTCTTCTATTAGCTTATCTATAATTTCTAAATATGATGTAGCAGTAAAATTTTCATTATTCAAATTTAAACACTCTCAACAGTATATTTTATATTTGGGAAATGTGATAATGATTTTTTCAATAGATGGGATTTCAACAACACTAACTTGCATTTGAATGCAATTTACTGCACTAATCATGTCAGCGATATGCTGATTTTTCCCTTGTATTTTTAAAATTTAATTCATTCAACTTTGCCGTTATATCTGTCAGAAATCCGAGGTCGATTAGCCAATCCTTATTTTCTAATTGCTCGTAAAATTCGCCTCTTGATGCAACAAATTCCTTTATTTGTGGCAAAAGCATGATAAACCGCTCAAGTATTTTACCTCTGCTTGGCCACCTCACTTCAGTATGTAAAAGAAGATCTGTGAACTGAACGTACTCATCTTCTAAAAGTAATTTAAACAATCTGTGTTGCATAGCTCCCGATCTTATGGAATTAATAATTTTTGTTACTCTCGTAAATACGTGTTGAAAACCGATTGTTTTTGCGCATAACATTTCCTGATGTATGAGGCAATGATAAGAAATAAATTTCGGGAATAAGGAATCCTGTCTACATAAGGCAATAAATCCTTTTTTCTTACCAGCCATCGCTGATGCCCCGTCTGTTGTAATTGACGATAACTTTTGTACAGGTAATTTTACATCTGTTATATACTTTTTAAAAGTAGAAAAGATATCTTCTCCTCTGGTGCTTCCCTTTAATGGCAGAACTTTAAGGAATTCTTCTTTTGTTGTAAAATCAGAAAATACCATCTTCACGCAAATTGCTAATTGTGATATATTTGTCACGTCTGCCGATTCATCCATCTGTAGCGAAAAGAAAATACAATTTTCCATATCATTTGCTAATTCTGCCTCCAAATTCTCCGCAATTACTTCAATTCTTCTAGTAACAGTTCGTGCTGATAATTGCAACGTGTTTATAGCTGAAACTATTTCCTTTTTATTTTTAAATTCTTCAAAAAGTGAATCAGCAGCTTCTAACATGGTTCTGTCTCTAACTTTTTTATGGTATTTTTGTCAATCTAAATCTCTCATTTTGCTGTGTGTTGTGCCATGCGTTAATCAACAAAGTAACAAAGAAAATGGCATATAATTCCATGCCTGTAAATTAATATAAGGTAAAGTTAATGGCTGGCCCACCAGCGAAGTCACTGAACACTGGTAGTTCTGACCTGGGTTTGATTCCAGGCGAACAGGCTGGCTGCATTTTTGTGGTTTTACCCATGTGTAACATGTATACGAGCCAGTTCCTTTAGAAAGTCCTCCGCAAAAGCATCCTTCTCCTTAGACAGGTAGCTCTAGCATGCTTTGCCTTAGTAAATAAACCAAACCAAACTTTAATGGCTATGTTGTTTTTGAAGTATGATATTACAGAAGAGCAATGTGAAGGTTGTTCAAAAAATAATACAATCTAATTTTCTTTTTCCCTTTCATGTTTCATTTTATTTCAGGCAATTTTTCATTACAGATCCTTCTATTTACTCCTTTGCTTCAGAAGACTTTCTTTCCCTTTTAGGGTGTTGCGTTTTTTCAGTTCTCAAATGGCTTAAATAATCACTGAAGAAATTAACCTCTTAAGGGAGAATAGACGGGCAGTGTTGTTTCAATTTGGTGAAATATTTGAGGTCTAATGGACCCACATATGAACTTGATGGTAGTTGACCTACAATTTGTGACTGATATCTGATCCTCAGATTTGTCGCTACTTTCCCACGAAAGGGTATGCATTAGGCAAGTTTTGGGAGTTGTGGGGAAGATGAACTTCACTGGATTTAGCACAATTTCAACTCTGGCTTTAATCCACATTTTATCAGGTTATGAGACAAAAATGTTTCATGTTTAGTATCAAATTTTCGTTTCAGTAAAGTTGCATCAAGCTTGTAAGGAATCGATCAGGCATAAGCTTGTCCTTCTTTCTATAATCTTTTTTAAAATATGATATAATGATGCCTGTAAAATCATTGTATCTTGAGGTATTTCTGTGCATGCTGCTTGAGTAACATTTCCTTTGTGTGTTGACATTTTTGTTCTTGGCTTTCGACCATCTTTTACGTCAGACACGTACTTCACAAAAATGTACATGGAAGCGTCCATAGGAAGACATACTGTAATCCTCTGCTTATTTACCACAAATTTCATTCAGTGTACTATTTCAGTGGAGTTTTGAAGTTCTGTAAACTTCAGAACATGATCTTTGATTTCCTGTAATCACAGCAGCCCAGACACATACAGATCCATTTCAAGCTATTGTCATTTCAAAATG